ACCCTGGCAGGCCAAGTACGAGCCATGAAAGAAGAAAACTCCAGGCTAAGTGATGAGACTTTTCTTGGCCGAATTAAAAAACTCCCCCCAAAGCAGCAAGAGGCAGCTCTACACATGTTCAAGGCTGCGAAGAGGAAGAGTGTTAGAGGGATGAGGTACTTGAAGGAGTGGATTTTGGAATGCCTCATCATGCGCATGAAAGGGCCAAAGCTTTACGAGGATATGCGGAGGCAGAAAGTTCTTGTTTTGCCGAGCAAGGTTACTCTTCAGAAGTATCTCAGGTCGTACAGGACGGGATTTGGCTTTAATGCCAAAGTGATGAGCATGCTCAAGCAGAAAGCGTCTTCCATGGATGCCTTCAAAAGGCACGGAGGGCTCATCGTTGACGAAATGAAACTGTCCGAGAATCTGTCAGTCTCATCGTCAGGGCACATACAAGGCTTCGTGGACATGGGCCAGTTCACCCCCAGCAGTGACAAGCATAAAGTGGCTGACCATGGGATGGTCATAATGTTTGTGCCGTTCACTGGCGAGTGGACCCAAATACTTGCTTCTTTTGCCACGCAGGGCAACATGAAAGGAAATTTGCTCTCGAAAGTGATGCTGGAGGCAGTGATTCTAGCGGAAAAGGCTGGGCTATTTGTTGATCTAACATCCGACGGTGCGACCTGGAATCGAAACATGTGGTCCACGATGGGCATTTACGCGACTGCATCTAGCACAAAATGCAAAGTGCAACATCCAGTGGACAACAAGCGGTCACTTCATTTCATTTCTGACTTCCCACATCTTGTCAAATGCATCAGGAATCGGCTACTCCAAGGAGACTTCACCACTCCAACAGGACCAGTAAGTACAAAATTTATGCCTTTATCAATATGAGAATGTTTTTATCCCCAAGAAACATAAAAACACAGCACTGCAGTGTCTTATGAAGCATTTTGTTTTTCCATGTAGGTATCGCTTCGTCCTGTAAAAGAGGCTTTAACACTTGATGGCTTGAACGTGACTCTTCAAGCCATGCTCGGTATCACAACCCGCCACACTCAGCCCAACAACTTTGAGAAAATGAGGGTTACCTACGCCTTCCAACTCTTCAGTGACACGGTTCTAAATGGCCTTCGTCAAAAATGATGTTGAGGCCAAATGCAGGAGCATCCAGCCTGTCTTGACCTTTTTCGGGTAAGTTTATTGCCTCAAGTACTGCTCCACATGTATACAAGCTGTTAGGAGCATACTTATATTTCACTTTTTTGTTTTTATTTACCTTTCGCTGCAAATGAACCTTCCAACCTCTTGGCTAACTGTTTTAAAATCTTATTGTGTGCTCTATGCATTTCAGCATGATGAGAGACCTTATCGAAATAATGTCATCTCGATTCCCCGCCAAGGCTCTTCGTCCGGACTCAGCTGCCGTGGATAAGCTGCTGTCATTTCTAGCCTACCTTGTTGAATGGGAGGTTTATGTAGCAGAAAACTTGCGTCAAGCGAAAAACGAAGGCCCAGCCGAAAAGCGGGGCCGATTTTTGTCCGAGTCTACCGCAGTTGGATTGAGGGTCACCATTGCAAGTGTCCTGTCGCTGCTGGACTACCTGAGCCAACAACTCGCGTACAAGTTCATCATGACATCAAGGCTGAGCCAGGACCCAGCTGAGAACTTTTTTGGCATTGCACGGCAGTCGTCAGGCTGTAATACTCACCCCACACCCCAGCAGTTTTTGATTACAGTTTCTTGCTTGAGTTTTTACAGCCTTGCCAAATCTGTGTCACACGGGAATGCAGAGCCAGGCATTTTGACTGCACTGCTTGGGGCTGATGCTGCCGGTGGGGATGACCATACCAAACAGTTTCTGCTGGACCAGCTGATTGCTGATGGGGATCTTTGCAGTGCTGAACTGGCATTGAACAGCATTGAGAAAGCTGCACCAGATCATGTTGCTTGTGTGTCTGCCAAAAGTGATGAGCGGCTAATTTTTTACATTGCTGGATATGTAGCACGGAAGTTCTTGGCCGAAACCAGCTGTGATGCTTGTAAAAACGTTCTGCTTGCAGACAAAAACGACATAAAAAACCTTCAAGCTGCTCAGCTAACACAGCTAAAGGATAATGACGGCCTGCTGTACCCGTCGGGTTTCCTATTTAGGTTCCTAAAAAACCTGGAAAACCTTTTCACGGGTTGCTTCAGTGCACAAGAGCTTCATCACGAAAGCATCATGGATGTAATTTGGCTAATCAAATCCCAACCACAGCACCGTGTTGGATGTACTGACCACGCTGAAATGCTTACTTCTAAGATGGTGGCATTTTCCATTACCACTCGGCTGCACTTTTTCGTAAAATCACTCAACCGAGCCAGGATGCAGAAGCGGGAAACGGCAAAATACCTGAAACTTAGCCGCTGTACATAGACTGCTCTTGCCCCCATTTCAGCATTCATATGTCTGCAGGGGAACCGTGTTTGTTTATCCATTTTCTCTGTGCCATTCTTGTATTTTTATGCGTACTGTTGTCATAACTTACTGTGCAATAATTCTGTGCTTTTGCAGAATTCATTTGGAGTCTGTCTGTTACAAACGCCTAGTTCTTTGCAATTCAACAGTTTTATTTGTCATCAAGACCCTCTTAATGTATTTCTGGTATTTTTACTTCACTACGTGTAAGGTAGAGTGCTTGTTTGATGTATTGAACTTCTGACAATTGTTTTTTTTTTTTGTTATCTAGTGAGCTATTTCTGTTCGACATTTTATTTTTTCATAGTCACATCATTGTTTGTCATTGTATAAATTTTTAATGTATAGCTTTATGTTAAAATGTTTTTAATGTGAAAGCCTTAGATCTCTGTTTCATGGAATACATGAGGTACTCAACATCATTGTAAGGTCCACAAAATTGTACAGAACATTGGAGTGCTAGCCGGGAAGGGAGCACTGCAGCAGAAAGGTTGGAGGAGGGCCAGAAAGTTAAATAGCAGTGCAAGAGGGGAGGTCGCTGCCATGTGCAATATGAGCTGCCTTTAGAGCTGAAGGTTTTGACGGGTGTGAACAGGAGGCCTCTGGTGTTGGTGAGCCAGGATAACAAGCTTTGGAGGATGCTGTCTATTGTGCTATTCAAGTGGTGATGGGAACTTTCACAAAGTTCAACAGAAAGTTCAAGAACACATTAACAGAACTTTCAACTAAACTTTCACCGTCACATTTTTGGAAAGTTCTATATGCACCCCCGTAATTGTTAAACGTTCCTAGTATGTTTACTGTACTGTGATAAGTGAAAAGTAGACTACCCGTTTCATTTATTGCAGTCGTAATGGCAATTCGTGCAACCTGGCAAGCCGTTTTAATTTTGCACCTGATTTGTTCATAGCCGCAGCATTGTCTTTGAGATTTCCTTTGAAATATTTTAAGTATATGTGTATATTCCTGTCTTTTTTTTTTTTATTGTGTGAAAAGTAGACTGCCTGTGTCTTGCATTGTACTGTGCTTGTGATCAGTTTTTGCTTTCTAGCTGGTTATTTTTGTTTGACATGTCACTTGATTAGTTCATTTGGCATGTAGTTATAACCTAAATAAATGTTGTATCAAGTGTTGCCGAAATATTTCTTTCATTTGCCATTTTGTCACACAGCCTCTTCTTTATAATAACTATTCTCCTGGCTAAAATACTGTGGGACTCCAAGTGCTGAAAGCGGTGCTGACAGGGCTATCTGTTTGATCTACAAACTAGTGTAGTCATGCAAAAGTTGTCCGCATGTGAACCAACAGCAAGAACTCCTGCTCTACTGAAAAACGAGTACTGCTTACGGCACACATTCGAAATGGAGTGCAGTCCATAATACACCAGAAGGCCGATAATCGAGACAAACATTGCGGTTCGAGCCGCTAAATTGCTACTCTGGTCAAGGGCGTCACCAGTCGTGGCTCGTGGCACGTTAATGACAAAGAATTCATATCAGATATCCGTGATTTGAAGCTGAGGTGCTCTGAAAAAACACGAGGCTTATTACAAAAAAAAAAAAAAAGCCCGTCCGCCGCTACGCTGCGAAGTCGACGGGAGCTGCACATGATGCTGCTCTTCACAGTGAAGCACAGGCTCGCAAAGCGTTCAGTACATAATCTCAGCACGCAAAACCGTTGGCCAGGTTAGTCGATTGTAGCTGCCCATTTTTTTTAAAGTGCGATGCAACGGAGAAAAAAAGGGAAGAAGCTTGCGCAGCTGTTCGAAAGATGCCCAAATCCCTGCAGCAGCACCTCGCGATTACTACGCCAGCACCGCCCGCGGCCGGCAGCTTCCTGAGACTCACGAGCAGGGGGGCGCTTTTGCCACTACAAAGTATTCTAGTTCACTGTACTGGTGGTGATACTCTCTTTTTTTTCATTCTTTTATAAAAAAAAAATTATTTGACTTATCTTGTCCTATTATTTCTTTTTTCATTTTAATTAGGCAGCGGGCGATACTTCGGTGCAGCAGGCAGGGCTTAACACTTTATGTTCTTTTAAGTAATTTTAAAGTGCCCAACACCACACTCTGTTGCCGCAAACTGTCTCCCCCCTCCCAGCGCCGCCTTGCACCGTGCAGTTTCGGAGATAACGTCGCCTCCTTCTCCGAACCACCTTGCAGTTCCAGGAATGGCTGCGTCTCCACCGCCGAGCCCCGGGAACTAGTCTGAGAGAAGGGACCAAAGACGTTATTTAAGGCCGTACCGGCCCCATGTTTAGATGATTTTGCCCCAGCCAACATCGTCGTGCTGGCCGGCTCCATACAAACGACAACCTGCTATAGTAAACACCCCTTCTTGTTGCTGTTTTCAAAACTGATTGCCTCCCTATTTCGCCTCCGGGCGAATGCTTCAGCGAAGTCCGTTCGACTGCTTGCCGCACTTCGCCACGGCTACCATCGCGACACAGCGAAAACCTAACAGTGGTGGCAGACGGGAATGCCATCGAACCCAAATTCGTAACAGTATCCAGCGTCGCCCAACAGCACTCCGAGCATCCGATTTCTTTCTACAGCACCCGCAAGCGGGAGTTGTCAAGAATCCTGCTGTCATGAACAAAGCCGGGCCAGCCGACTACAATGTCGAAAAACTGGAGTTGTGGTCCAGCCACCGCCTGTAGCAAAGTAGCAGCATACCAATAATCATAAACAGGGCATTGTACAGCGCGTATCTCTTTGCGGTTTGGTGTAAACTACACGCGCAGCAGAAATGCATGTTGTTGCGCTGAGTCACGGTCGATCAGAGTGTATTTTGATGAAAAAATAGAGACAGTAGTATTCCTTCGAAAAACCTTCACGAAACCTACCTTCCGGAGCAAAACCCCGAGTCGAGTAAAACACGCCACAAAGGCGCGAGTGCTGGGCCCCTCGAATAACTGCTGCATTATTATTTCGCTTTCTTTCGCTAGTGCATGACAACCATGGCTGAACAGAAGCACGTTGATTACTGTATGGAAAGAAGTTTACGACACGAGCATTGATAAAAAGATACGAACGAACTAAACTGTTCAGATACTTCCAAACTTCATTGCTTACCTGCACATTGAAGGAGAAATAGCCTTTGCGGTTGTGGAGTACTTCGGCATTTTCCCCACCAGGGCTTTTGATCTGCACGTGCGTGCAGTCTATGCATCCCGTCACGCTAGGGAATTCGGCCACTTTATAGAAGTCCCGCATAACTTGCTGAAATTCCGGCGGCTGCGGAAAGCGCATGAGGATGAAGTACAAGTGCTTTGCGATCAGCGTGGTCACTTTTCCAACTGCCCGGCACACTGTGGACTGCGGAATGTGGACGAGGTCCCCGGTCACTGTTTGAAATGTCCCAGCGTCGTAAAATCTCAGTGCCATCAACAGCTGCAGGATAAGAGGCACAGGCTGACCTCAATTGTCCCGGCTTTCTTGGAGCGGCAGCATAGATGGAAGCTGCCGCACAGCGTGCTTCGTGAAACAGTAGCGAGCGTGAAATTGTTCCTCGTCGTACAGTTCCATAGGATTTCCTCGGTCACAAAGGGCGGGTTGTGGAATCTTCGGCAGGTAATATGCCTTCGAAAATACAACATCCACGGCGTGGGCATGTGAACTCAAGAGCGGCCAACCTCCGCGCGACCTCCATTTGAGAGTTGGCCATGTAGGAATAACGCATGAAGTCGCTTTCAAGCTGGCCCTGCAGCTGACTTGAAACTTGTCCTGACTTCCACCAAGCCAAGTCGCCTTCAAGTCGTCCGCAAGTTCGAGAACGATGTATGGTGGGCGGCAAAACTGTCTTGAGTCAAGAAAGAGTCAAGTACGAGTCAAGTAACATGTCTACATTCCGGGGTTAATGTTCGAACGATGTGTTGCTTACAACTTAGCCGCAGGTATCTCACTCGTGGTGTTGTGGCTGCCGCCAGGAACCAATTCGGTGCGGCCCCTGGATAGTAGGATGCGCAGTGCGACCCTTCTGCTCCGGCTGGCCCAGGCCTTGTCACTTTTTCAGTGACGCAAGTGATACCACCCGAATAATACACCATGAGACCAGCCCATTTTTCTTATAGAGATAAGGTGATTGCGCTCGACAAGTCCGAAAAAAGAGACTTTACCCGAAGCTCCTTTCCAAGTACTCCGGTCCATTTGTCATCACCCACTCGAGTGACGTCACTTATGTCTTTTCGAAAGTGACAGTTGTGAACTGTTTGTGCAACACGCAAGTTGTGCATATCGTTTGATTGAAGCCCAACAACATTCGATTAATCTGACTAGCTCGGTGAGCTTCATCTTGAACCTCGGAGGAAAATGCAACGCGTATTGGAAGAGCGTGTAAAAAGGAGGAAGAAGAAGGGCTGGTACGAGGGATCGCTGATCGACGGCGTTGATTATAATTTCAATTAGACTTCTCGACTGCTTACCGCTCATTGTAAATAAACCCAACCAATCTGTAAGAGTATGTTTCCTTTTTCGATGTTTACCATTTAATTTATGAATTGGTTGCCACTAAGAAGTTCTTCAAGTTTTTGGCGCGGCAAAAAAAAAAAGCTATGCTACACCCACAGCCCCAAATTACAGTGACAAATTTTCCTTTTTGTTACTTGGGACCGAAAACCAATTCTCATCGTGAGGAGTACCGCTTCCAACGATTCTAGCTTAATTTGGACCAGCTAGAGTTCTTTCATGTGCTCTACAAGGCACGGACAACGGCATTTTTCATTTCGCCAACAACAAAATGCAGCCACCTGCGGCCAGAATTTTTTTTCTTGTGGCATCTTGCTCACCAGTTCGATGTACCAATTAGAATGTCATTATTTTGAGCAGAGCTTAGGAATTAGAGCCACTGCAAGATTAGTTTGACACACACATTGAAAACAAAATTGCTTAACGGCGATCTAGCCCTGCAGCGCTACACGCTGTGTGACAGCATGCGGTGCAAATGTTCATGCACTTCTGCTGTTATCGCAAGTGCAACAGCAGACACAGTTGCTCCATGAACACAGCAGTCGAGTCTGTGAGCTGTAACGAAGTGGAGAAACTAATAACCTGCGAGGAGAGAGACAGTGCATCACCGAACATGAAGCATTAGCCGATTTCGACCTGAATGTCAACGTCCCGGCGGTGGTCCACTACACCCTAATGGAAAATCTGCTCGCATTAGTAGAAGCTGCCCGGCGACAGCATGGAGGAACGAAACAACTGAGGAGACGGCTCGACGTCACTCGCTGTGAAGCGGTAGTGAAGCCTGAAGTCGGCTATAGTATTGACTACGCGAATTCTTCCATCTTGTTTACACCCAAGTTTGAAGCAGAAAATGCGACTCCCTCTCCTCCGCGAAAACTACATGCACTGCACAGCACGCGCATCGTGGGGAGCCACAACAATGAGAACAGAGCTCAATAGGCTGGGCCAGCACAACACCGTTGGCCATACTGGCATTTCAGGAGCAACACTGTGGAATGATCGAAGAATGTACCACTTCAAGAGGCACATGTGCACATTTAGACGTTTCCAAAATGAATTTCAAGAAAGATATTGATATTTTTCTTGCACCATCAGCTATATAACATCTACAAGCTGCAGATGCAATATGCAGAAAGTGAATAAGATACTTTCATGGAAAAAGAGCCCCGTATGCACACTGATACAAGCTTTTTCAAAGGGCAGTGTGGTAATACTGTGGTAAGACACTATAGCCCACAAGAAAGTACGCCGAAAAAGACGACGATGGTGTGCGCAAGAGAAACGCTCGCAAAGCTCGGAGCTGGCAAACTTCGCTGTGCAGAGAGCACAGGAGGCAGCCAGCCAAAGCACTGGACGTTCGGTCCGAGGGACTACAAGGACCAAGCTGATGCGACCAGACCAGCCAGGATGAGCTTGGTGTGTTTCGGGGACGAGCGAGCATTACGGGCCAGCCTAGCAACTGTTCCTGTGGGGCATAGCATGCAGGCCAGGAGCTGAGATTGTGGCCTCAGTGCAGCGTCCCAGGGGTTTCTGGCACAAGCCGAGCTGACCCTTTTTCGGGGCCGAGATCTTGGCCTCGGTGCCGGATCCCAGGAGTCCTGGCACAAGCCGAGCTGACTTTCTTCCGGAGCCGAGATCGTGGTTTTGGTGCCGCATCCCAGGGGTCCCTGCACAACCCGAGCTAAGACCGTGGCCATGGTGCCACATCCGAGTGGGCCGTCGTCATCACCACAACTGTCTGCTTCGTGCTGGCATTGTCGCTACCCCTCTGCGGTTCCGTGCGCGACGCTCTATGGACCTATACGTCCGGACGCGCCGATCCTCTTGTGTGTGGGTTAGGACTTAACGGATATTTGTATTGTTTAGTGATTCACTGTGTGTGTAATGATAGTGTGTCAAGTAGATAAATGCGTTTCTTGTTCGTGCCTAGCTTTCCAGCATCTGAGGGCTAAGAAAACCACAAGCAGTTCCCCGAGAGGTATTTGTAACATCCAGCTGTGATAAATAGAACACAACTCTAGAATTCACGTGGCAAGTACAGAAATGAGGGCTACAGTAGCGAAGGCAAGTTTCAGCATTGTTGTATCCATATTGGCACATTAAAAGCCAGCCAATGTTATCTGCCTGAATAGACCATAATACCATGGTGACACTTAACAATATAAAGGAAAATGAGGGGAGGGGGTGTCATGAGTAGGAGCTCCTCTTCGAGGGACATAAAGACGACGACAAAGCTCAGAGAAGATTGAAAACGACGCTAGCACGTGCACCGTAACGCGAGGTATGAGGTATGCGTGACCCAAGCTACGATCGGCGCGCAAGCAGCGACGAGCAGGCATTGTCGGCGAGGGATTGGGAGAAGAAGGTCGCATTGCCAGCAAGCGATGCGACCTTCTTCTCCCAATCCCTCCTAACCTAACATCGACTCGGACACTTGTGACGGGGGCGTCTCGAGAAGAAGACGGAGACTTCGACCAGCTGCGAGGGAGGCTGCTCGGCATACAGCAGCAGCGCACAGCAAGCGCTGGCGTTCCTGGCGCAATCCCCCTTCGAAGCAAGCCGACGAAGACAGTCGCCGGATGGCCATGTCAGCGTGCAGCACTGGGTATAGTTTGCGGCCACTAGGCCTAACCCTAAAGGCCTCTGCCACGGCAGCATGGACATTAGGCGGCGGTGACGACGGGCAACTTCGTCGGCAGCGGCAGGAACAGCGACGTTTGTAGAGAAAATCGAGATCCCAAAAGGTACCGGACATGACTAATCAGGCAATTAGAATCAAAATCACTAGGTCATCCATTTCTGTCGAACAGGAGATATTTAGAACTAAGAGCATTTGTCCACACAAGCTTATGGCTTCCTTTGACAACAAAAGGGATGATTTAGATGCTTATCTGCATCGTTTTGAAAGGATCGCTGTGAGTCAAGGATTGCAAAGAGAACAGGAGACATGGAGCGGTTTGGAACAGCAAGAGGTGTGGATGTGCGGTGGTCGCGGCAAGGCGTTCGCCTCAAGTCCGTCAGCAGAGCTCCTGGTAAAGTGTCCCAGTTTTCGCAGCAATGTACTGTGACCTGCGGGGCGTGACTAGGAGGGCAACCAGCTCAGCCCAGCGAGACATTGCTCCTGAAGCGGTGCAAAGGCTCAGCGGCTATGCTCCGTGGACTGCGCACCTGAGGACGAGTGAGACAGCTGCGACAGGTACCTGACGCAACGATTACCGAATACTACGGGAAGCTGAACAGAGTCTCGATGATGCATCGGACTGTCGCGCTACGGTGAAGTTTCGTTTTTCAAGGACACAACGGGGCTTCGACCCGGAACTGGTGCCGCTATGTCAGGGTCAGCAAGCCATGTTAAATAGTAAATACCTTATGTATGTTTTGGGGACGCACTGTGTGCTGGAGACCTTCGCTTGTATTGTTGCGTTTTCACCACTTGTGGTGTAGATAGGTTAAATTTTTGTCGCACATGTGTTCCTGTTTTGTTTACCACCTTGAGACCATGAAAGAGGGGAAGAAGCAAAAGCAGAGCTTTCTTTCTGTGTCTCCTAATTATTTTTTTTTTTATGTAACCATAGTATTAGGCTCTATGTGAGAAATGTGAACTGACCAGTCTGGCAAGTGCTACTAACTGTCACCTGCCGTGGTAGTCTAAAGCCTTGTGGGGCATCCTCCTATGTTGTATCCGAAACCAGCACCTTTGGCATGGCAAATCGCAAAATGAAAACTGTTGTGCTAGGCCACATCTGCTAATCAGGTGGTGTGAAGAAGACTCGAGACAAGTCTATTATTGACAAGTGCTCCTTGTTTCCCAAGTATTGTAGGGAAACAGAACACAGTTTTTATCTGAACATTGTTCCCCGTTCCTCCTGCATGTGCTCTCCCAAATGACGACCCTCATATGTGCATGCACTTAGCTCACAATAGAAGCCATGTCCCTCACGGTGCTGGACATGCAACTCATGCAAGGAAGCACTATACAATAAGATCAGGCATCCACTGGACATTGGCCAGGACTCATGCACTGCAGACGACCCCGGTGATGCAGTCTCTGAGGTATCCCTACACCTGCCATAGTACTGGGAACACAACAGAACCACCCCACTGCCACAGGTAGAACCGCAGTTCCACATCTGCCGAGTAACATTTCAGCTTCAAAACTCCATCATGTCATCCGTGGGTTGCCAACCGCAGCCACAAACTAGGTCTCCAACATACTGGTTTCTTTCAGAGTGAACCTCCTGGCAGTTCCTTATGATGAACTCAAGGCACATTTCTGTACAACAGCACAGCTGGATCAGAACGGACATAAATCCAACAGTTTCTCTCAACCACCAGAGAGACCAGAGGCCCAGAGGCACATGCGCAATGAGAGGAGAGAAGTGCTTACCAGGTCATTACACTTAGAGTCAGTAACGAAGCTAGAATGCAAGAAATCTTCTACAAGGGCATTATATCTTCAAGTACAAGGATCATACTCTTCAGCCCTATGCAAAGTGTGCAATTTAAAGGTGAACTTTGCTGAAATAACTGTCATGGAAAAGAAAGGAGCCAATGGGACAACCCATCCTAGATTGGAACTATGCCGCCTCCTTCCATGCCCATGAACAAGGAAATGTCGGAGCCAAGCATGGCTGGCACAAAGCTAGCATCGAAGGCAATGCATTCATGTTTGTTTGTCTGTCTTTGGTATTTTGCACTGCTTCCATGTCAGTCAGCGTGTGAACAGTTTTACCTGTTTGTATGTGACCAGTGCACCTTGCACTGTTGTCAAGGTCGTGGACAATAACACTAATCTAGTTTAAAAGATGATAGCCTTTCTTGGGAACCTTCGACGAAAAAATTTTGGCCTGTCTGCCTGTGCATTTGTCTGTTTGTCCACTCCCAACAGCTTCGGGTACTTGAAACGGCCAACCCTATCCGCAGCGCCCACCAATGTTGCTCAACGTTCAGCGTTCATACTTGTGCGATTGTCAATTAAAAAGCAAGTATTGCGCATGTATGGGGCGCCATAACAACACGTACACATTCTGCATGTGCGTCTTTCTTATTTAACACTTTCATGACCAGGCCTATCTCCATCGATAGAATGTTGTTGGTATTTACAACTTCAATATTTGTCCCGTTCCAAGCGTTTGTGGACATCTTATGCTATCCAATGTGTAAAATAATTATTTTACCACTTTTGCTTTTGTATTTCTGATTTTCACCTCGTGGGGATTTTAAAGCATCTTTCTTTATGCGTGGGTGAGCATGCGTAGTTTCAATGATGGCGTCAGTGTTGCATGTGACTGCTTCACAAAATCGGCGAATTTCGGATGGTTCTCGCGCATCTGAGCTGGAATCTTCAAATGATGACAACAGCAAAGGCTCGGTCGGAAGACAACAACGACGCTTATGATTTCAGTATGAACGAAGATACTTCGCCAAACTACCCCGGAACATCCGCGGTCGTCCGCCGGTGAGAGTTGCTTCGTGCTCAGGCCGTGTCAGGGCCAGCGCGTGTCTGTGTAAGCTGATCTGATGTGTTCTGAAGGTTAGGGGCTCTTGTCTCCAGGGTGTCCAGATCCTTCAGGCGGGACCCCTTTCCGGCGATAGCGCAGAGAGTGAGTGCAGTTTTGTGCACGGAGGCAGCCGGGAGTGAACCTTGGAACTGTGCTCCAGTGTGCTGCTCGGCGGTGCGCGAGAGCTGTCGACATTTACTACTCAAGTTATTAAAGAGAACACAAAATAGATGTTTTCTGTGAAACATGCACACCAAACCTGAGTTCTAGCGCATTGCCAAACTGCTTAGCATGGTGGCATGAAAGACGCCACATGTAATGTTATTCTTTGTACACAAAACCTTTTGCATTTATAGCGCTAAAATTTACAGCATGTTTATGTGTGTTTCTTGTGCTTAAAATGTATATTTAGGTTTTTCTTTATGCTTATTCTGTTCAGAGCAGTGCTGATGGTTTTATGAAATTTCTCTGTTCATGTAACAATTATTGTTTGTTTTATCATTTTATCATACTAATGTTGATGATTGTATAGTTTAAAATAGACTGTTTGAAAGACAACTCCTTGATGTTAAATTTGATACTATAAACATTAATATCACAAACTTTGGGTGTCATAAAGAATAAAGTTTTATAGACACTACCTAAAAATGTCCGAATTTCTCGCGGTTACGAAAGTGTTAGGAGCTCTTAAGGGGAGATGCTACTCGAAAAACGATTTTCTTTAATAAGAGTCTGAATTTAACACAAATTGGCATGCTAATAGAGTTTTTCTCCTCTTTTCAAATATGTCATTTATTTTCATGTAGATTGCTTGGTTTTCTTTCTGCAGGCCAGATACTGCAAAATTATGGCCATTGTTATGCAACAATTCTGACCTATAAAAATTTGAGATAAAGCATGCAGATATAGCTGACTATGATCCTTTGGAACTGTAGAGTGCAAAAAACTATATAAATTTTGTGTGTAAAAAGGCGAAATGCAATAATAAAATAGAAAAATTTACTATGGCTCTAGTTGCCAAGGCTTTCAATGTTATGTAATTTTTGAAAAACATAATCAAGCAGCACTGACAACCTGAATAAATACTTGCACTCTATGGGCCTTCATCATGCTATGTGCGAAATTTCATAGAGGTATGACAATTCTAAGTATACGAACTAGCGTGTATAAGAAGCACAGATCACACAAAACTGCAA